GAAACCTTGAAAAATTGAATGGAAACCATAGGCCCATTCATCTCCTTTTAACAGCCCCATGTCATCTGGCCTGGTCTTTTCCATTCCTGTTCTGTCCAATCCTGACAACATAATTTAGTTCCAGGGATCCTGACGAGAATGTAGTAGACTGATATTTCCACGGCTCAGCCCTTGATTAATATGGTCAGGGCAGTGGCCAGTGAGGATGAGGAGCCAGGCAGGTCTGTGCTCTCCCGTGCTTCCCCTCCAGGGCTCGCCAGGGACATTGCTTTACCAATCCCTGCAGGTTCTGCTCATCTTCTTTTCAGTTCTGGCCCAGACTGCTCCAAATCCCTTTGTTGGCACATTTGCTTTTCCCACTGTCCAGCCATCCATTCTGCACATCCCGTGTTGCCTTTGCCTGGGTAACGGCCGGCGTGGTAAAAGTACTCCTGCCCCGGAAGAGGCCAATTACAGGAAAACGAAACCTAATGGTCGTGCAAGCCATTGCCCAAAGCATGGGGTAACCACGTGGAAGTGATACAGGAACAATGGAAGGGAATCCCACACTGCTTGGGGAGGAAAAGAGGTCCCTATGAAAAGGCAATATCGAGGAGGCCTTCTGAGGTTCAGGAGAGTTCCCCAGGTGAAGTGCCCCAGCAGAATGAGGACAGGGCTTGGGGGTCCAGCAGTGACCACAGATATGAGGGTTTAGGGGTGACACAAGGTCTGGTGTGGGTGACTCTGTATGTGAGATGGGCAGAGCTTGGAGCAGAGCATGCAGAGGTGAGATAACAGACCAGACCCCGTGGGGTGCAGCTGTGGCGCGTGATTCTCCTCTCGCACCTGGCAGCACATCTGTCTCAGGAGGTAAAGGGAACAGATGCTAAAGGACAGGTGTCCCCATCTTCATCCCAGTCCAGGAGAAGGAAGAGAACCTTCACATCATACCTGGTTGAGGAGCACTCAAGGGGGGTGTCCTCTGTCATCTGTGCAAATAGGGGCTGGAATGTGTACTCTGCCAGTCCCCTGGGGACAGTTTTTCCTTTTTTTCTTCTTGTGGACTTGAAAAAAACTAGACAAACGTTTCACTAGAAACTCCTAGAAACCATTAGATATATTCAGTGCCTCCCACCCCCATTTTCCAGGTCATGGAGGAAGAGTGGTCACCAGTGGTGACATTTCCAGCCCCACCTAACAGCACTTGTATCGGGGCCTCTTTTCCATGGGTGTCAAGATTTATTGTTCCTCAAAATCAAATATTGGCCTTGGCTTTTTATCCTTTCAAGTCGATGGAGCCCGGTTTGTCAGCTGATATCTACTTCTTGTTTCCCCTGCTCTAAGCTGGATGGCTCAGACCCAGGTCACAGGCTGGACCACAGAGGTGGTCTGGGTGTAGTCTCTTCATTTGACATTTGCAGTTGGAGTGTTCCTACAGCCTGTGTGGCTTTCAGGAGCAGGCTTTCTTCTGTGACTTCAGAAGCCCTACAAGAAAGGTCTGTCCTCCAAAGACACCCCCACTTTTTCTTCATTGAGAAACATTTCTGCTTGTGGATATCCAGTGCCAAAGTTCTGGGACAGCCCAGGATGCTGAGAAACATGCTGTCCTCCTCATCCACCTCAACATATCATGGCCATGTTGCTACGATCCAAACGTCAGACGACACGATGCAAGAAAGAAAGGGTAACTGCGGAGATGTTGGAGCGTTAAGTTGAAGCTGTTAACTTGACACGAACAGAAAGCTACTTGAGAAGACAGAACTACAATGGAAGATTTGAGCAGATCTGATTTGCCCATGGTCATGTCTGTGAGGTATTTTCTTAATACTTAGTTGATGTAGGAAGATCTAGCCTACTGTGGGCGGTACTGTCCCTAGGCTGATGGGTCTGGGCCATGTAAGAGAAGTAGCAGAGCAAGCGGGGGTGGGGGGATACAGTAAACAGCATTCCTCTGTGGTTTCTGCTTAGACCTTCCACCTTGAGGTTCTGCCTTGGCTCCACTTAATGATAACTTATTGCTTGTAAGGTAAAAATAAACCCTTTCCTCTCCAAGTTGCTTTTGCTCATGGTGTTTATTACGGCAACACTACACTAGAATACCTTGTCTCCCACCTTTTCCCACCTCCAAGTATTGCCATCACAATACAACTCTCTCAAGGAACAAACCCACATATAAGGTCAGAGCCCCTATAGATACCATCATCTCCGGAGATGCTGCTGTAGAACCTCCAGAGGACTTCAATAATCACAGTGCTTTTCAGTCTGTTGAAGTTGATGGTCAGTCAAGATTGCCATCCTGTCAGGCCAAGAGGGTAATAGGCTTGCATTGATGAAGGCTGCTCGTCACTGAAGTACTGTTGACCAATGCTCCGAGCTTCTGGGAGGACCTAGAATGAGGGGCAAGAATCTGCCTACCTCAGTGTGAATGGCTGTCTTTCGACACTAGCTTTGTCAACCTGGGGAGGTTCTTTCTATGCATTCCCTCCATGCCTACTTCCCTTATTGGCCTACGAGGTTGTTATAGCAGTATTTATAACATAATCCACTTCAGGTACATGATCAACACCAGGCACGGAGTCAGTGTTCCAGGTAGGTATTGTTCATGCTCAATCATACATGACTCTTTCCCTTGCAGTCACATGGGGCATGGAAGCATCCAGGCCACCTCTCCTGGAGGCTGTGTGGACCAAGTGCCAGGCTTAGGCCAATGAATTGCAAGAGGAATAGTAGTGAGTGATTTTATTATCTGTCAACCTGCTGGGTCTAAGAGAGGCTCAATAGCGAGAATGGCATCTCTCTGGAGTCTCTGTGGCAGTTTCAGGAAGTGGTCCCCAGGAGCACGAGTGAAGGAGCTTGCTTTCATCACTGGGGACAGGCATCGTCATGTCTCCTATGGAGTCAGCCAAGAAACCAAGACAGAGGGAGAACCAGTCTCCTCTCTTTTTGAGCTAGATTGTCCATCTGCCCATGGGTCCTGGGATGGGTTCTGCTTCCTAGACATTCAGTCTTGAGCTGATTTGCCTCCCATCCCCAGCATTCATGTCTCTGCAGCTTCCTGACAGTTGGTATCAGATAACATATTCTCAGCCTCCATAACTTCATGAGTCAATTCCCATCATAGCCCTGCTGTTGTATGTCTATGTCTGTCCTGGAGGCTGTTGCTCGGCAGAGCCCCGACTAAAGCAGATGGTGTAAAGTCCTTGCTCCACTCTCCCATCTCTTTTGAAGCCCCCCCCCCCCCCGCCACGGGGGAGGTGACATGCTGCTGATGGTACGGTCTGTATGGTGGTGAACTGGCTGGGTCACTGCACATGGTCACTCTCACCATGGAGAGGGGCAGGATCTGCAGGGGATGTATGAGCAGGAAGCAAATCTGTGCTGGGTTAAGTTGCTAAGGTTGGTCAACTGTGATTACTGCAGGCCAGCTTGGGCTCACCACGGCTCCTTGTCATTGCTGCTATAGACAAGGAGAAAGCCTGGGTGACCCCACCTCATCCAGAGAAGTTCCTGGGCTGTGGCCTTGACTGTCTCAAGCTAACTTTACTATAGATTCTCTTCTGGTTTACCTTGGCTGAGGATGTAACTTTAACCTCTTCCTTTGTCTTTGTTCCTGCAGCTCTCTGTGTCCTCTGCCCGAGGGATTCCATAGAGTGTGTGTGTGTGTGTGTGTGTGTGTGTGTGTGTGTGTGTGTAGTAACGTTTGTGTCATTCCTCATGGAATGACCCATTGTGCTTTGTTTTGTTTATTTGTTTGTTCGTTTGTTCTATATAGAATCAATTTCTCACTGTACTAGAATCAAGTTGGCTAGCTAACTAGCCAGAGAGCCACAGGGATCCACTTGTCTTTGCCTCCTCAGCGTTGTGATAACAGGCATACGTCACCATGCTCAGCTTTTAAAAACATTTTAACTCCATCAAATGGTTGTTTTCTTAGTGTCTAAGTTAACTACCTGATGCCTGTGGTGCAGGAAAATGGCCCCATGTAACAAGGATGCTTCTGCATTCAGCATCCTCATTCAGCCTCCATTTAGAAACCCATGATCATAGTTACTAAGTGCCACTGGGCACTTTCTTTGCTGCCTTGGAGCTTCTCTGGCACAGCCCTGTATGACTCCTCTATGGTTGGTTCACAGTGTGGCCTGCGCCCCATCAACACTGACAGACGAGAATAAGTGGGGCTGAAGAAAGATGTGGCCAGCCTTGCATGTTGTGACTATCAGGCTATGAGCTATTCCCATCATGTGCCTGCTAAGGAAACCTGTGCTTGCCTGGGTGCGATTGCTAGCACCCCAGCAATTGTTAGCAGGTAACATCCAACCCAGGGAAGTCCTAGGAAGCCAGGGCTCTGAGGAATGCACTGGAGGGCCGCTGCTCTGGCCCAGGCTCTTTTTCAGAATAGCAGATGCCTACAATCAACCCAGAATTGTAAAGGCAAAGACCACTGCCTGACACCTTTCATCTGCCCTTGAGTCTGTGTGGTTACCTACTGTTGAGTGAACTTTCTAGGTGACGTACCAATGTGTTTGTGACTTTCTATGTGGAGGGGACCTTGAAACGACTGAGGGGATGGTGACACAGAGGGTGTGGGCCTCAGCCTGTGACAGCAGCCCTGACATGTTACCTAAGCTTGAATCCCCACTCTACCTCATCTCAGCTTTGGAGCCCTTGTAGGTGACAAGTTCCTTAATCTCTTAGCCTCAGTCCTCATCTGTGATAGAATGAAGAGTAAACCCCCATCTGGTCTTCTGGGGAGCCTGACGTGATGATTCCAAGAGGGTGTTCAGTGCTCCATGGGTCTCAGTCAGGCCCTGTGATGTCACTGTCCACATCAGCCAGGCCCTGTGATGTCACTGTCCACATCAGCCAGACCCCGTGATGTCACTGTCCACATCAGCCAGGCCCCGTGATGTCACTGTCCACATCAACCAGGCCCCGTGATGTCACTGTCCACATCAGCCAGGCCCCGTGATGTCACTGTCCACATTTCCACCCTCTACAAAGCCACAAGATCACGCGTGTGCTATGTGAAGCAGCTGTCACGTTAATCATCTTTATTGACTATTGGAAAGGGCTGGGCAGTGAGAGAAAGCACCCCTTATAGCAGAAGACACACACTTTGCTTCTCTTTGTTTCACAAGTCTTACTGGGTCTCCATGGCACAAGAAAACAGGCTCCTCCTCCTGGAAGCCAATCCCAACTCCTCAGGTGATGCACAAGTGTGTTCTCTACACAGGACCAGCTATCACTGCAAGGAAACGGATGGCTGTGAACCGTCGTCTGTCTGTCAAACATCTGTCTTTCCCCACAAGGGCAAAGAACTGAATTGTTTCATTCTCTTACTAGTGCTGAGCACGGTGCCTGGCACAAAGCTAAATCTCAGTCAATATTTGAATGACTAAACAATGTCAGATTCTGTGTTTCGTCCCCTGCTGTGCCAGGTGTGAGTCTGAGAAAGTCTTACGCATGGTCCTGGACTTACCTCTGCAGGACTGTCCGGATTCTTGTTGCAGAAAGGAGACAGAATGTTCTAGAAGCAAAAGCGTTCATGAGTGCAAAGTAAGGTCCAGCAAGCGTTCGTAACTCTTTCATCGTCCTCCAGCAGCCAACTGTGGCTCCAGCCTGGTTTTGATGATGTGAAGCTGCCTCTTCAACCTGCTCTTCACTACATCTCCAGTAGATTGCAGTGATTCTGGACCCTATATTCGGGGTTTTTGTCTTGCTGGGTCTTGGCAGAGTTGCTCCAGGCTGCACAGAACTTCAGGCCAGCACATTTTATTTATTTTATTTTTGCAGAGAGGAGACTGTCTGTGTAAACCATTGGAACCACTCAAAATCATGTGAGCACCATCTCACTGGCTCAGTGCCCTGCAATCCTGTGATGGGAACACTTCCCTAGCTGGTGGGGGCACTCCCTCCACCAGACTGTCGGGCTAACACTGCACACCCGGTTAGGCTTCTGGGTGATGCTCGATGGAAGAATGATTGGAGCTCATTGCATCACTGGTCCACTTCTGGAGTCAGCAGGTAGGGCTAGGCTGTACAGACAATCTCTGAACAGAGGCAAGAATGGAAACAGGGGATCCACACAAAGAGGTTTAAGCCCAACATTAGATGTGGACAATCAAGCTGACCCATCTTGGACAGAAGGAAGTCCCTTTGAGGAGCTGAGATGTGGGTCTCACGGCAGGACCCTCTGTTGGTTTAGATCTCAAGGCGGAGTTTTGCTGAGACCTAGCAGCCTGCCTCTGCACTGGCATCTCAGGGGACTCTGGTGCTGGGGTTCCACAGGTCATACTTTGAGAAACGTTGCTTCTTTGGTCACTCATTCTGAGATGAGGTCTGCACAGGGCTGTCTTGCTCGACGGCTGTTATTGCCATAGGTCTGCAGATAGAAGGAGGGTGGCGGGAGGCAATGACAGAGTAGCCTCCATGAGCCTTTGATCTGACAGCTCCTGGAGTCCCCTCAGCAGCCTCTTGCTTACCGTGCCACTATCAGATCTCTGATGTGGAGAGATCCTGGTAATGAGGTTCTATTAACGGAACTGGATCCTGACTCTCAGAACTCAATGTTCAGAATAAACAACGGAGCAGAATCCTATTAAAAAAAGGCTTCCAACATGGACAAATTAAGCCCTTGGGAAAGCTGTACAAAGAATACATTTTCCAGTGTCGAATCAAGATCAATAGAAAAAACAAATAATTTCAAGTGAGAGTTGTCATAATGACACTCGGGTTCGGGCAGGGGTTGTGCACATTATTCTGGCCTGAGGATATCCCAGCTTATCTAATGAGAGTGCAGGGGTGAGGCTGGTCCTGGGTGGCAGGGGTGCAGAGACTCCCAGGTGGTGCAGCCTGACTGACATTGAGTCTCATTTGTCTCTGTCAAGGCTCTCCTTGCTGTGAAGCTATTAGGCTTGTTGTGTGCCACAGAGCTTGCTGCGGTTGGGCCAGCTCTGGAGAAGCAAAAGAAGCCAAAAGGGAGAGATCCACATACAACCAGGAGATCGCCTATGCAACTTACCCCCAAGCTGTGGAGATCCCCAGCCATCTGCTCAGATCCCCGATTCTCTGCAGCTCTCCCGACTTGCCATTCGCTTTTAGACTCACGTCTGCAGCACCCAGTGTCTGGAGTCAGTAAAATTCTTATCCGTCACGCCACGCTGACTAGGAGGGAGTCTTTCTTTTAGAAACCTCTGCTGAATTCTTTCCTGCTCTTCCTAATTCTTGACAACCTGAAAATCACCCTTGTCTGTCCCCAGAGTGCCAGGCAGGATTCTGAGCTGACACACACCCTCTCCTGTTCCCCTGAGTGGATGTCCCAGTGATTCTGGCAATCTCGTTGAGTCACTGAATCAGGGAATCCCTCTCCTACCAGGGACCCTTTGGTTTAGTTCAGCTACTCCTGTGGTCTCTGAGTCATACCCCACCAAACAAGTCATTTCCATTAGAATTCTGGAAGACCAGGATGGTCTAGACCCAGGTCTCAGATGGCAGAGACTCTAGTTTTACTTGGCTGCTCTCACTAGTAGATAAGGAGACAGTAAGAGGGAACATTGACATTAGAACACAGTGGCCACGGCCCCTGATTGGGACCGACCTGCTGTCCTATTGTGCATGGGTGATGTGTCTGAGGTTTCCCTCCATGTAGTACAGCTCATGCCACATGTCCCAGAGGTATGTGTACCTTTAGACTGAGTCACAGCTCCCAGCTGCATCCTTCCCCACTTTCTAGCTGGAAAACAAGTGATTGGCTTAGACCTGAGCATCAAGTGAACCCTTGCCTTCTGCCTCTGCTCTCATTCAGATGGAAAGGTGTAGGGTGGATTGTGGGAAGGCAGACCTGGATAGGTGCTGGGGATGGCCATTTGGAAAGCCCCAAGAAGTCCCCGAGCTGCCTATAGCCCTGGCTGTCCTGAGGCACACACCATGGCAAGGATTTAAAATGCTTTGCCTCTTCCAGAAACTCACAGTAGAGTTAGTGCTGTGGCGTGCTAAGAGGACAGAAACAAAGTTCCTCAGAGGGTAGAGTGAAGCTTTGGGCGATGAGGAGGGAAGCTGGACAAATCAGAGGGATGGAACTCCGCGGTTGCACGCTGGCGGTCTCCTAAGAACAAGGAGAGGCAAGAAAACATGTTTTCTGACTCCGTCTCTCTTCCTCCTTGTGGGTCTTACCATATGATATCCTACACTTTCTTGAGACTTTGACAGATAGAAGGCCAACATCAAATGTGGCTCTTAACCTTGCATAAGAACTGTAAGCCCAAAGAAACTTCTCTTGGTTCTAACTTTTTCTATCTCTGGTTTTGTGTCACTATCAATGCAAGTTGGTTAAAACACTCACTGTCTGCTCTGGGGCTCAGGGTGTCCTGAGACACCCCTACCTCCTTGTCTGGGCATTACTGTCATGAGTAGGTTATTCATTAAAGTCTCGGAGATGTCCAGGAGTAACTTTTATTTCTTGCAATGTACAACGCATACTGGACAGTGGATACCTTTTCTTGTCCCCGCATGGTTCTTGCTGATTTACAATATTTATGCCACCTACAGTGCAGTTACCTATAAGCAGTGTGACCAGTGGGTTCCCCATTCCAGAACTTTGGAATAGGATGAAACCTGGTGGGGAGGAATCTGGGATCTAAATCCCTGTCAGATAGCCAGACCCACACACTCACTGGGACCTACCTCAGCTATTTAAGTCACAGCCACTTCATTTCTCTGTGTTCAGAGACAGCTAGAGCTGGGCAAGGTTGCTTATCTTAACCTTGTTAGTGAGACTCAGGGATGGAAATGGGACTGGTGACATAGCTCATGGGTTAGAGTGTGAGTCTAGCATGCATGAACCCCCAGCACTATAAACCCAGCATGGTGCATGCATGTGTGACTTAGAACCTCTGTCTCGAAATCCATCCACCAACCTAATATGCCTGCAGGAATGGAAACAATTGTAATGCTACGAGCCGGAGGACAGTGAAGGCCACACAGTGCAGCTGGAAAGAATGAGGGAGGTGCTTGTGCACTGACAGGGAGGGCTTCCCAAGCATGTGCTGGGCCAGCAAAGAAAGGCACCAAGCATGAGCTCCAGAGCCCAGCACATGCTAGGCAAGAACTTTACCCAAGCCCCTTTAAGAAACATTTTTTTTGTTTTGTTTTGAGATAAGATCCTACTGAGCAGCCCAGGCTGGCCTTGAACTTACTCTGTTGCTCGTGCAGATCTTGAACCCCTGCTTCAGCCTCTCTAGGGATCACAGACATGCACCATCAGAGTCAATGGAAAAGTTAAATGAAGAGGGGGAGCCTATTTTGGCATTTGTATTTACAAGCAAATATGCACACACCTGTACACAGACATACGTTGGACATCGTGGAATCGGCAGAAAGAGAGCAAGCTGTAGGTACAGAATCTCTGAATTCTATGTCCGTCCCTTGCTGATTTGTAACTCAGAGAAAACAATCTGACCCATGCACTCTTCAGTCTGCTCATCCAGAAAATATGGTAATTATATTTCAATCTCCAGAAATTATGGAGGGAAGTCAGCAACGAATTAAGTCACATGAGCAGGGCTTCTGAGCGGTTGGCTGGCCCCTAGCTGGGGCAGAATAAGGGAGCTGTTATTTTTTTAACCATGGCGCATCTCTTCTGGTTCACACTTCTCCACATCTCAAACCAACGACGGAAGTGTAGCTTTCCATTCAACCCTTTGTGTTAGGGTATGGCGGTTTAATCAGAAATGCGTTTTCTGTCTGGTAGCACACGTCCTGATGGCCTGGTTTAAGAGGGGAGACGTTTAGGTGCGATCAGCTGGGTCGTTATCTACGGTAGTACTTCCTGGGGCTCCTTGGTCTGGGTTGAGGCCTGGCAGGCAGTTAGAAGATTCTTCACAGCTGGCCCTCTTGGCTTCCCCAGGGAGAGGCTACTGGGGGAGAGATCGAGGGGCCTGCTGCCTTATCGGGAGGCCTGGCATTTTATAAGCAGTGAGTACTCATGTTTACTCACGCTTTTGCTAGCGTTGCTGGGTTGCAGGCGGCAGACACTAACACTGGCTAACTTCAGCGAAAAGGAATTTATTGGCAGGATGTTGGGAGCTTGGAGAATTGACAGGAACTTAGAGGAGTAGACTTGGTGAGGGTGGGAGCCTGGGCCTTTCTGAACACCTAGGTCAGTAGTGTGAGCACCACAGACAGCAGGGAGCAAGTGATCTGTATGCTGCTGCTGGTGAGCTCCAGCAGTCTCTGTCTCTGGATTCCGTGGCTTTTTATCACTCTCCTTGCTTCTCTGTCACCTTTCCGGGCTTGATGAATTTCCTGCCGTAAAACTTTGCAGACAAGTGGCTAGGTCATTGCTTCCACTGTGGATGTAGCTGTAGATCCTAGCATCCTTTACTGTAGGATTCTGTAATGCAAGGTCCCAGCATCCTCAGAAGTTGGACACAGACACATGAATGTATGGGTCAGTTACATGTCACCTGGGAAACAGGTGGCAGGCAGTGTCATAGAATAGTGTCAAGGTACTTCTGTGTAGGTGGCAGGATGCTAGAGTAGCTGCAGTCGCAGCCACCAGTTGGAAGAATGACCATGCTGTGCCCAGCATGGAAGCAAGGTAGCATCCTGAATATAGTCACATGGGCTGGTGTCCTGATGACTATTCAGCTAAGATCACAGTTATGGCTTGGCTGGCTTGCTGCTGCCCATCTGCCATTCTTCCCATTGGGCCTGTGATCTTTCTCACCTTCAATGGAATAAATCCATGCCTACTCCAAACTGGCTAAGCTGGATTCTGTTGCTGGCAACCCAGAAGCTTGGCTGACATTCTGCGTGACTTTCAGCAGATGTGCGCTCCCGGAAGAGAGGTCGAGGCACGTTCTTGTTCCCCAGTGGGACCCAGGAGACATGGGGAGTTGGAGTTGGCCCTTTGGCTTTCACAATGGGAGGCAGAATTCTAGAATTCCCCGCCACCAGGACCACACACAGTGGGGAAGAGGCAAATTCCAGAAGGCAGGCAGGCTACTGTTAAATGAGGAGTGTGGGAGCACAGTTAGCGAAACAGGACACATGTGCACTAACCAACCTCTCTACATCCAAGCAAATAGAATGTATGCGTTATGTGAAGGAATAGCTGTTCCATTCATGCGCCCCACAAGCACGCTGCAAGCCGGGTGCGTGGAGACACTGGGAAGACGAGCTAAACCTTGGAGGAGGGCTGAGGGGTGGGGCAAAGAGAACAGGAAGATGGGGTAGAAGAGAGTAGTGGAGTGTCCGTGGGAAGACATAAGTTTGGGAGAGAGCTGAAGGCCAGGCCAGTTTGGAGGTAAGGACTTGAATGCCATATCAATATGGATCATTGGAAGTGTTCCTTCGGGGGAGGCTTGTCGTTAGGCTGGTCTCTGAGAAGGCTGTATGATGGCGAGAAGCGTGACCAGTGGCTGGAGAGGAGGATACAATGCATGAGGGAAGTCTAAAGCAGGGCCGCAGCCTGGGAGGCCCCCACACCAATGGCCTGACCTTGAGCTCATAGACTCTCAACTAAGGATCTGCTAGTAGTTCTCAAACTGTGGGCTGAGATCCCTTTGGGGGTCAAATGACCCTGTCACAGTGGGCCTAAGACCATAGGAAAGCATGAATATTTGCAGCACAGTTCATAACAGAAGTAAAGTTACTGTTATGAAGTAGCAATGAAAATGATGGTTGAGGGTCACCACACCATGAGGCGCTACGTTAAAGGGTTGCAGCATTAAGAAGGCTGAGAACCACTGTGCTACAGGAAGCCCTGAGGGTAGGCTTGTGTCTAGTATTTGGGTCTTTGGTTTGAAGGAGGTGGGAACCTCTGTGGCCACTCCCAGCTCTGCCCAGCTTGCTAGAGGAATGGTTTGTCCTTTTCTTTCCACTCACAGTGACTTCCAGTGGTGCTCTGTGAAATCTCCAGGGTTTTCCCAGGAGAGGCTCCTCAAGGTCTGCCTTACATATCTTATAAGAGGTCCTGCCAGTAAGGTCCATGTTAAGAAAAAAAAAATCAATGGATAAGTTTTATGAGTTCTCATGTGGTTCCCTAGGTGACTGACATGGCCTGGTTTGCCACATACAAGTTCCATTTTATATAAGCAAGTCCCTTATTGAAACTCCCATGCCCCAGATAAGTTAGAAAATCGCCACCTATATTTTAACAAACTGTTCTTTAAAAGACAGGCTAGGGTCTTGGAAAAGCCATGGGTGTGGACTGAACTGCTGAAGTGGTGGCCTCTGAAGGAGATGGGCCAGAGACCTACAAGGGAGGCAACTGGGGAAGCAGCAAGAGAAGCGAGTCTAGGTAGTTTAGGAGATTAGCGCAGGCCTAGCAAATCTGTGAGTCTGACTTTCTGGGACTGTCCACCGGGACTGGGAACACTGGTCTGGTGTCAGGCTCACGCTGGACTACATCCCACAGAGAACCGTGACACCATCTACTGAGTCCCACAGCAATTCAGCCTTACCGACAGGCACAAGGCCAGAGATGTTCGAGGATGATGCCGTGGCTCCTCGGAGCTCGTGGGGTTCAGGCTTCTCCATTCTGTCCCACCAGTCTTGGTCATTTCATCCTGGAACTCCAGCTCCAGCTATAGTGACCCTCCTGGGGGGGGGGGGGTGCCAAGGCTGTGGCAAGAATGGAAGCAAAGTCTGGAGGAGAAGACGGCAAAGCTTACGGCCGTCCTCATTCTTGCAGACACGAGCCGCTCCCCACTGGCCAGGCCTGCCGCAGTGCCCCCTCTTGAAGAGAGGCTGGGAAATGGTGCGGTTCAGCTGACTGGAACCAATTCAGGAAAGAAAAAAAAATAAGTGGCTCTGTTTGGACAGTTAGCAGAGTCCTCAGGAGGGTCTTAGAGGCTTTTTAAATACACTGGCCATCCTATCACATGACACTAGCTTATGTCTCGCGTCTCCTGGGTCCCCCATGCCATAGACGCTAGGTTTGGCGTGAGCCACACTGCTGCGGTGTCACCAACAGGCTGCCGGAAGCCCCGTTTCTTTTCTCTTCCCAACAAAGCCAGATGGCAGGCAGTGTGACTCCATCTCCAGCAAGGTCCAGGGGACTTTGTCCCCTCCCTGCCTGGAAGACTGTGCCCCCCTCCCGATGCACTTCCTGTGGCCCACAGCCCAGCTTCACTGTGTGTGAGAGCTGCCCTTCCTCCTCCCGTGCAAGCCCAGAGCCCAGAGCGAGGCAGCCCATCTGGTTCTGTTTCATTTCATGTTACTCATCAGGATATGTTTGCCAGGAGTTATTTGATGTTCAGGAAGAATTCCGAAGCTTTTGAAAAGAGGTAAATAAAATCCTTTATCCCCCAAAGAGTCGTGAAATTGTGTTTTGCTCAGGAGGTGGCAGGCAGCCATGTGAGGTCTGGCGGCCCTTGCCTAGCCAGGCACCGGGGCTGGGATTCCATGACTTCTTCTCCCCACTTCTCAAAGCCTTTCCTGATGCTCTCTGGGGATTTCCGAATTTGGGAACAGATGAGGGCTGCCTGTGGGGACAGCCCAGCCTGTCTCCTGCTCTTCAGCCAAGAAAGCTTTTAGGGAGCGCTCCTCCTGGTCCTTAGCCCTGTCACACCGCAGTCATGCATGCAAATGAGCTCCAGAGGGGGAGGGGCCGGCGCTGAATTCCCTGCTACAGAACAACCTGTGAAGGTGACAGAGGGCCTGGGTTGGGGGAGCTCACTCCATCTGCTAGGGTCTTGAAACCACAAAAACAAAGGAGGTGACATTCCTCCAAGCTCCTTCTGTGAAAGGCGACAGACATCATGGATGCTGGGATACTCCGAAGGAGCCATGGAGCTCCTCAGGAAGAGGAAGCTGTTCTACACAGGTCCCATCTCCTCTGGCATCACTGTCTCCTGTGTGTCACACAGTCTCCTCCTCCTGCCCTCAACCTGCAACTTCCCAGAGAGGTTGTAGCGGAATGTTACCACCGTTTTCCCTGGCCAAGTTTCCAAGGGCTAGATCCCCAGGTTCCTTTAACCCCTGGCTGGACCCCGCTCTACCTTGCTGTGTGCTAGATAGAACACAGCTGCCCTTGGCAATCCTGGTGAGGAGGGACAGACATCTGGGTGACTGATGGCTCCTTGGGCAGAGCCGTGTGTTCACTGGGCCCCTGACCATGCCCCGATTCTAGGTTACTTCCTCCCACATAAGCAGCCAGGTAGAGGGGTGTGGGCTCACCCCTGTATTTCTTCATCTGTTCTCCCTGCTCACAGGAATGCCAGAGGGCTCCTCCACAGCCTATAGCAGTGGTATCTCAAATCCTGCAATTTGTGAAGCTTCCCATCCAGGGCATCCCTCGTGACAGCTTACCGCTGTGACTATTAAACATTGATCAGTCAAATTTAACATCGCCTCTTCCCTTTGATATCCTCAACTGTTCTCTGTAGAAGACAACAAGCCGCTTTCCGCAGCTCCCTATGAGGGGGACTTCAAAGCCTTTTCCACCAATCCCTCAGTTCTGCAGCTCTGGGATCCTGCCAGCGAGACTGTCAAGAGGAGAGTTTAGGCATCCTCCGTCAGCTGTATATTTGGGACTCAGACCTGAGCCAGTCCTGAGAGGAGATTCTGGGGTGATCTGTGCATAAGTGCGAAGACAAGGGCATCTTAATTTTTTTCTAGAAATCTGTGGGTCACGAAAAAGAATTTAAATTCAAGGCAGGAGATCTGGGTCTATATTTTTGCCGAACCAGGTGTTTATCCCTGAAATGCCCCTGGCCAGCTCTGGCTCCTCAGGAAAGTTCTGGATCCTTATCTGTTAAATGGATGTCATTATACTTACCTCTCAGCAAAGTCCCTGAGCAGGAGGTGTGGGTACCTGGCCATTACGGTACAAGACACCATTCTGTCCTCTCTTGGGACCACACGGAGCAGACATATCCCTGGAGAGGAGAGCTTCAGTGACCTAGTATGACAGGCAGCTCTGAACTCCTGTAAGCTGGGCACTTGACAATCACAGCTGGCAGTCTGATCGTCTGCCATTAATTTCCCTCACACAGTTCGCCAGGGGCTTGTACTTTATTATACCTACGCTAATCACCATAGCTACCATTTATGGAACATGTCCCATGGATCAAGGCCAGAGCAAAGTGATTGACCAGTGTCACCTCACATCAGCCCGACGTGTACCTCGAAGGTAGGATTCCTCGTGGGATCTATTTCTGCATGAGAGTCTTCCTGAGTAACAGAGTCTACCTCATGTTAATGGCCACCTGGGGCTTGAAGCCAGATCAGTGGGGTTGAAAACCAGCTCTAGCCTCTGTCTTCTAGCTGCGGTGACATACTCTAAAAGGCACATGGTGCCGTATCTCAGTGCCTTGGGGGTCTCTGCAGTGGAAGATGTCACGGTACAGAGAGATAGAACACAGAATAGCTAAAAACATCTATTCTATTTCATACACCAATTTTTGAGTAGCCATGCACAGTATAACACCAGTTACAAGGTCATGGCCCCAGGTTCTTTGTGGCCCCAGCCTTAAGAGAACAGATCATGGAGTCTCTGTCCTCCAGACCCCTGTGGCCTCTAGCCCTCTGAACTGCTGGGGTTGCTAGGAAATGGACCTGTTACCTCCTTTATGCGGAAGTTTATCCTGGGAGATGCCACTTGTAATGAAATGAGGTCTGAGTTTGGAGGACACCAGAATCTCTTTTCTATTCCTGGAACATCCCGAGAGATACCCCAGAAGCCTGGGTCACTGGCTCCACTGCCACCCTCTGGCGTCGCGCAGACTGCATCTCCTCCTTTGCCAGAGATTTCAGAGCAGCATTTTTGCCCAGTGCTCCTTTTTCTAGGTCACATGGCTGCAGTCTCTCTCTTTAAAACTTCCCTGGGAGCATGTCTCTGCTGTCTCTAATTGTGCAGGATAGTGGGATACGGAGACTGGGAGAGAAGGGAGAGGATGCCACACACCCACGGGAGAGCTGCTGGACCAAGCAGAGGCACAGTGCCTGGCTGCAGAAGGGAAGGGAGGAAGGACCAGGGAGATGAGTGACTGGGGTCCTCCCCAGTCTGCCTTCCTCCTGCTCAGAGCCCCTTCCTATCCCCTTATGGACGATTCAGCATGGCAGAGCTCATGAGGAGTGGCCTCCACCTTGGCCAGAAGCTTTCTCAGTGCTGTGGGGAAATTGCTGGTGTCTCCCAAAGTATAGGACTGGGCTCTAGAGATGGTGTCACCTGTACTTGTTGAAGGGGACAGACACTTTTCCTTGAGAAGAGCCCTCATGCTATAATGCTCCAGACTTGCTGACTACAACCCTTTCAAAATGGCCAGCTGAGGCAATCACAGGAGTGACCCTCAATGACACCGCTCTTCTTGGGGTATCTGAAATCCCCCACTTAAAAACACCCCCCCAACAGTCGTTTGTCATCTTTGTAGGTTTTCTTTGCCTTTTTATGGTAAGGAAGGGCTATGGAATGAGGTAGAAGGGGAACTGGGTTTGGGGTCCGAATGAGGACTTACATCATCTTCCCTGTGTTTGGGGGGCAATTTAATTACTATCTTCCAAACTCAATCCTTTGCTTGGGAAATAAGGTCAATAATGCATGACTCACAGAGTGTCTGGAAAGACCAAATGAAATGGCATTGGCAGACTGCCAAGTGCTGGTATACAGAGGGTGCTCAATACAGATTAACAGACGAGATAACAACCTCTAGATGTGGGAAAAACCAGGTGTCTTGAAACCCCCTTAGGAATAAGGTCTCAACTAGAGCTTCGGGCTGGGAGCTGGACATGAGTACTCGGTTTTCTTGACAGGCAGCAGGAGAGTGAGTTTATGAGTCGAGGAGCCTTCTACAGCCATTCTGGATCATTCAGCACCGAACCACTATCTGACTGTGCATGCCCTAGAATAGCAGCTTTGTGGAGAGCCCATACAGAGCATCAAGGAGTGTGGACAACCTGGTCTCAACAGTTCTGGGAGACATCACCCCTGAGGCCCCCAGAACATAGGTCATCAGAGACCCAACAGCAGGCTCAGCTGTGAGCCTGACCCTGATAGACACGACAAACAAACCCATCATCCCCTATTATCACACTCATGCAACTTCATCCCTCAAACCCCACTGCTATCTGGACAGGTGGGATGGAGGAGCCCAGCAGGTATCCGTGGTGCTGCGCCTGAGCCCAGACCTGCACTGACCCTGAAGTGAGAAAAAGACCAAAGTTGCCTCCAGAATGTGCCTGGCTCCATACTGGTGGCCCAGTGCCATCTCTTTGAATGCTGCCTGGGAATTAAATGCCATTAGTTCCATTCAGCCACAAAGCAGTGACAAAGGCAAGGCCTGGCCTGAGGTCACCTTGCCAGAAACTGTGGGATCGGGGCTGAAACTTAAATGTGGGCCCAGAGCTGTGTAATCTTTATCTGGCATTGTCCACACAGAGGTCTTAAGCAAAGCCCACTAGAGTTATCTTCCCACCCAACCCCCTCCCCGGCACCGATCTTATTAATCAATACTTCATTATCTCCATGCTTGAGGAAACTGATGTCAGCTTGCTTAAGGGACTGGTTCAAAGTCACACACACAATACCACGTGAAGTGGCGTTTGAGCCCAGGCTTGTTCCTCTTCAGAATCCCTAATGCTGGATCCTTCTATTAGGATGTCAGCCTCAAGTTCGTTCATCTGACATCAAACCCATTCTCGGCGGCTGCTAGAGAAAAGGCTCTTGGCTAGACACCTGGGGTTACAGAGGTGGCTGGCCGTACCATGGTCCCTGCCCTCAGAAATCTCATCCAATCTTCCAGCTATCAAGAGACCCCTTGGCTGTGACTGATCTGACCCTCTCCTCTGAATTTATTTTAAACAGGCAGGATGGGAGGATGGGTAAGGGTGGGCGGGGCATTTTCATTGAGGGACCATGATCAGTACTCCTGTTGCCGTCTCAGCCCTCAGAGGGTCTTCCACTTGTCCCCTGCTCTGTCAACCCCACTGGCATCTCTTGTCCTTGCTTGGAACTGAATCAGAAAATAGGTTAGACAGCAAAACAACAATAACAATTGACTTTCAAACTCTGACGTACTTCACATCTGA